TGTGCGGGAGGCGGGGCGGCCGGGGGAGGCGGAAGAGTTGTTTAGGCGTGCTCTTGAGATCAAGGAGGCCAAGTTGGGGGTTCTACGATCCGCAGGTGGCGGTGACGCTTCACTCGTTGGGTCAGTGTGTGCGGGAGGCGGGGCGGCCGGGGGAGGCGGAGGAGTTGTTTAGGCGTGCTCTCAAGATCGAGGAGGCCAAGTTGGGGGCCGACGATCCGCAGGTGGCCGTGGCGCTTCACTCGTTGGGTCAGTGTGTGAGGGAGGTGGGGCGGCCGGAGGAGGCGGAAGAGTTGTTTAGGCGTGCTCTCAAGATCGAGGAGGCCAAGTTGGGGGCCGACGATCCGCAGGTGGCCGTGACGCTGCACGAGATGGGTCAGTGTGTGAGGGAGGCGGGGCGGCCGGGGGAGGCGGAAGAGTTGTTTAGGCGTGCTGTGGAGATCAAGGAGGTCAAGTTGGGGGCCGACCATCCGCAGGTGGCCGTGACGCTTCACTCGTTGGGTCAGTGTGTGCGGGAGGCGGGGCGGCCGGGGGAGGCGGAAGAGTTGTTTAGGCGTGCTCTCAAGATCAAGGAGGCCAAGTTGGGGGCCGATGATCCGCAGGTGGCGGTGACGCTTTACTCGTTGGGTCAGTGTGTGAGGGAGGCGGGGCGGCCGGGGGAGGCGGAAGAGTTGTTTAGGCGTGCTGTGGAGATCAAGGAGGCCAAGTTGGGGGCCGACCATCCGCAGGTGGCCGTGACGCTGCACGAGATCGGACAGTGTGTGAGGGAGGCGGGGCGGCCGGGGGAGGCGGAAGAGTTGTTTAGGCGTGCTCTCAAGATCATGGAGGCCAAGTTGGGGGCCGACGATCCGCAGGTGGCCGTGACGCTTTACTCGTTGGGTCAGTGTGTGCGGGAGGCGGGGCGGCCGGGGGAGGCGGAAGAGTTGTTTAGGCGTGCTCTCAAGATCGAGGAGGCCAAGTTGGGAGTCGACGATCCGCAGGTGGCCGTGGCGCTTCACTCGTTGGGTCAGTGTGTGCGGGAGGCGGGGCGGCCGGGGGAGGCGGAAGAGTTGTTTAGGCGTGCTCTCAAGATCGAGGAGGCCAAGTTGGGGGCCGACGATCCGCAGGTGGCCGTGACGCTGCACGAGATGGGTCAGTGTGTAGAGAGGACGATGGGGTTGGCGGAATCGTTCTTTAGGCGATCGCTGGAGATCAATCAGAGCAAGGGTGGGGACGACCAGATGTTGCCGAGATACGACTTAAGTTGGGTCGGTGTACCGAAGACGCCGGTGGATTGGTGTAGACGGAGTAATAGCGTCTGGCGCACGGAAAATGATGCGCTCTCCATGTATGTTTTCCTTGGTATATGGCCTGTGGTAGTATTGTCGTAGAGTACATAGTATTCTTTCAGCTGGGCTTCATTTGTTTTCAGTACGGTGTACCCTGACGTCTGAGATTAATGGTTGCCGCAGTCAAGGAAATCCATTCAACATGCGTTTCTTTTCGTCAACTGGTGCGATATTCGCGCGACGTCTTCCACGGACACAAACGGCACGCCTGCTTGGATTCCGATTGTTATTATCGAAGTCACATGGGCCGGTGCGCCCGCCGTGGGATAACGTGGAATCTAGCTTTTTAGTTTTTTTATTTGTATCGGCATCGACCGCGCTAACCGGCTGACCAATGAAAAGACGTCAGTCTCAGTGCGGTTGATAACACAGAACACTTGTAAATGCCATTAATCGGGACCCCGTGAGGGGGCGGCATGCGGGAGACTAACCTATTCTCCGGATCAAAGACAGAAACGGTAGTAACAGAAGAAAACTGCACACGTCTACGAAGGCTGCTACCTTGCACTCGATTTCGTTTTGGAGTGCTTTCACCGTCATCCTCCTTCCTTCCAACTCCATCGTTCTCATGGTCATTTCATAGCAACTTCTCGACATTTCCTCTCTAGCCCTGCGTCGTTTGTGGTGGGGAAGGTCATCTGGCTCGAAGCTCTTGCTCTCTTCCACGCCATTCCTTCCCTCCTCGACTGCTGCTTTGGTCTCTGTCTTGTCCTCCTCCCGTTCCCTCTCCTCCTCCTTCATCGCTGTCAAACGAGTTCCCGTCATTGCCATCCTGGTCGTTTCTATCTGCACTACTACCGAGATCCCAACCTATTGGCCGTGGTGGGAACTGATCGAGAAGTAGTCCGTGACGTTTACCAACATCACGAGTTCGCACGGATAGAAAACGAGCCAGCTCGAAGGTAAACCGCCTCCGAATCCTATTGGTATGAAAAGGCTTCGGCGAAGCAAGGCTGTTTCGTCGTCGAACTTACCCTTGCAAAAGGCTTCATATGCCAAGTGGCTGGCGATGGCTACGATAAGTCGGTTTGTGCCTTTGCCAAGACCCCCATTATACGTTGAAAAAGCAGCATAAGGAGGGTAGATCTAGACGGGTTGAAAGTTCCTGCATAGCGGTTTGCCTTACTTGCAGCTCGATCTTCGAGGGCAGATCGACTTGTCTATGTTTCGACCTGCGGATGGGTTGACGATTGTTACGTGTAGAAGAATGGACTTGGTGCTGAGTTTCTCTTCTTTATCTCCTGCATGTAGTCCTGGGGGGATCACCAAATCCATCTTGTAGAGCCCCTTTCCCCTACCAGTGTCTGGAGTAAAAGGGGAAGAGTCTTCTACAGCGACAGGCATGTGGCATTCGCGTAACGTCTTTAGTATCACGCGAACCATCCTGGTGTGCAGGACACTCGAGGCACCGGTCTTTGTGCAGACCAGGGAAGTGGTTGTGTGTGTGTATTTTTTTTGTGTTTTATGACGTTATTCCTTTGTCGGATTTGGGCATAGTACATGTAGGTGCCCTGTCTGTCCGCACTCAGCAGAGATCAGAATGTTTTTTTTAATGTGTACCATGGTAGACTACAGCAATAAGTTGGACCAAATGACGTCGCAACACAACTCGCTTTCTCCTCCTCGCTGCGTACAATCTCTTGAGCATGAAGTATGCGATCGTACTTCAGCCGCCATTTTCCAAGAACATGGCCTTGCCCTTGCTGGTAGCCTGTTGCTCTTAACTTCGCACCAATAACATGCCCTCATTCTATTTGGGCGACGATGCGGTCGCCCGGCTCGCATCACCCTCCTCTCGCGCCACGAGGCTTGTTCGTGCTTGAGGCATGGAATAGCCAGGAGCAGACGGTAGCTGTACTGGGGTATAGCAAATGGGTTGAAAAGGCGGGAACTGATATCGATAGGATAGATAGGCTATGGAAAACATTTTAGCCACCTTTTTGGCAAAGTAGGATCGAACGATTGGCCATCGGTGATCGGTCCTGTGTGAACAATGCTGCGTCTTGTCGAGGACGCGTGGTCAATGGTCTAACCTCTTAGGCATCCAAAACATGAGAGAAAGAGAGTACGTCCCCCCTTCGGATCCAACTCCTATGCATACGATAGGGAAGAGGCGTAAGGAAGCTAAATGGCAAGTAGTACCGTGTGGTGCACGACATGGGAGAGGAAAGGCTGCCGAGAGAAGCTTGAGAGGCGAAGTGGACAAACACGAATAGAGGTAACAACCCAGGGAGTGGATTAATGTAGATGGCGTATAGAAGAGTTCAAAATGGATGAGGCTGATACATTGGGAACGAACGGTGGGTCTATAGGGGCCCGAGAACAAGAAATCTGCTACACAATAAGAAAAAGGATCCAAGGATATTGGGAGGGTCTAGATGTGTACCGGTACGGATGTTGAAAGGAAAAATTACCTACATGAACAAAGCCGAACGTCAAAATTTGCGCTGGGGAGAACGGCCTTTGAGAACGTTGACGAAGATTCGCGAAGGAAGACCATGAAGACGACAAGTTCAAATGTGCATGCGGCTCTGAGTGCGACGGGTTCATGTCGTTTTCGAAACGTCCGTCCGTGTTGGGCGACAATGGTAGAGAAATGTACATGACTGAGTTGGACACGTAGAAGGAAAGCTGCAGGGATATATTTGAGGCATGAAATAGCCAGGAGAAGACGGTGGCTGCACTAGGGCATAGAAAGTGGGTTGAAAAGGAGGGAAGTGGTATCGATAGGATAGATAGACTAGTTCTTGAACTTTGCCAAAGTACTTCGAAGTATATAGGAAGGAATTATGGTTGGCCATCGGTGATCGGTCCTGTGGGCACAGTTATGCATCCTCTCGAGGACGTGTGGTCAATGGTCTAACCTCTAAGGCGTGCGAAACATGAGAGAGAGAGTACCCTCCCCCTCCGCGCGTCGAGCGTACAATCATTTTATCACGAGGTCATCTCCCCCCCCGCCTCGAATCTGAAACAAACTGCTGTTTGGGTCACCCCCAACCTTCCTGAGGTCTTATCTTGCAGCCGCCGCGTTTTGGGGCTCCCCGTTCTTATCTGTATGCGCATTGGTACACCATGAGGGCGGGTTCTTGTTCTTAATGCCACGTCGGAACTGAGCACCTGTTCTTATGACCAAGTTCTTATATTTTGAATTGTTTGAGGCTCAAGATCTTACCTCCTACCTGGTAGGTTCTTAATTAAGTGGTGGCGCGTGCTGTATGGGGTGTCCACGGCATTCGCGATTGACACCCACCCACCGTTCTTGGTTGACGACCCTCTGCTGTTTCTGATGCGCAACCCTCTGTTCTTCCGCCGTGCTATTTTCTTGTTTCGCACAATTCTTCTCCGCATACAATCTCTCATGCAAAGTGGTCACCTCGTTTGTTTGTGTGAATATATTGTGAAACACACGCCACGCAAGGGTTTGTTTCGTGCCGGATTGCATCGGAAACGACGTCGGGGATCAAAACGCTTCGTACTCGCCGACCACAGCACCATCCGCGGCTGACATTGACAGGAATCGTCGACGGGGTGAGAGGCATCATCTCGGCCTGTGTCCCACCGTCGATAGTGGCGCACAGCAGTACCGCACGTATGTGATTCCGCAAGATCCACTCCTTGCACATTTATTTTTTATTTCCACATTATTCATAGTTCGAAAACGAACCAAAAAGCCGCCCGGACTTTCGAAAACCCCTTTCATCCAATCCGCAGGGACCCTCCCGTTGAGTGCAGTTGTGCAGTTGGCACTTTGGAGCAGAGAGTGCCGCGCAGCCTGGTGCTGTTGTGCTATTCCCGTACTGCTGTGCTTATATCTGCAGCCATGGCGATGCGAAGGAGGTAGGTGGCGCGCACGAAATCATGAATACCCATGACCGGGATGTGATGATGGATCGTCTATCGGCGTTACCTTGACCAGTCCGCGTTTCGGCAACTCGCCACGCACGGCGGTTAGCAGCGTGGTGTAGGTTGTGGAGAGCTAGCGAGGACGGGCGAGAGAAAGCGATAGGTAGAGGGAGAAAGAAAGAGAGAGGCATGCATAAAAGCTGGGGATAGTTGGACACGGGTGTTGCAGTCGTAGGGCTTGTCAATGGAGAGATGCAGAGACGAGGGTGAGCCGCAATACCATGGGCCCAATACCATCGTCGTTTTCTTGCATCAGCCAGAGGGCCCCAGGTTGGAGGTATGACGGTATGACTCGTCCTCTCGCTCTGTGTTGTCGGCTGCGTGAACCCGAGGAGGCCTGCTCTGTTGTGTGCAGAGTCGTGAGCAGAGAGTTCTTGTGCAGCAGCCAGCTGTCGGCTGTTCAACCACGGTCATGAAGGGGAGGCATATGAGGTACATGCACGCCATTGGGGTCGTGTTAGAGCGACGACGGACTGGTGAGGCTCTCGCAATTTTAACGTTTAGGGGTGCAGACGTGCAGGCACTGTTCACTATGGTGGCAAAGGAGAAGGAGGAAACATCAGGCAATCCAAGCACCCTCCCGACCGGTGTCTGGGCCTTCTCGGACAACCCACTAAACTTACCCAAGTGCCAGGTGTATCATACTAGGGGTTCTTCTCCGTGTCACGCTGAGGTGATTTTTCAAGGGCAAACGCGGCAAAATGTGGTAGACCACGTGTGGGAACAACATTTCTCTCCCAACTCTAAACAGGGCGCCTCCTACAAACACCCGACGGGCTCTCTTCGCTTGCCCTACCTGGCTCCAAACAAAGAAATTACTTCCACTCAATTCATCAAGAACGGGCCTTCCCTTTGGTCACAGCAGAGGACGCCACGAGTGCACAATTTCTGCGTTCACCACACCATTAACTTCCGACCTGCCCAATCCTGTCCTCCCATCGCCAAGCAAAGTCGCACCACACGCTGGCATTATCCCCTATAATTTTTCACGCAAGGCTGTTCAAACGGGTTTTTTTCACCCAACCCCGCCGCCTTCCCTCATTGAAAGCGCCTGCTTTCTTTTGCTCAACGCCCTGAACCCCCCCTGCTGGCTATTGTCTCCCCCGCGCGCAGTCTGCCAACCCTGCGACCTATCGTCAGCGCGTCGGTGTCTGGAGCGGGGCGGATGGCTCCCCCTTCTTGCTCCCTGCGGGGTAGCGGTTGCAGCGGTGGCGGCGGCGGGGGGAGAGATTGGAGGGTCTTGTTGCCGACCGGAAGAGGCGTAGAGGGTGCGGGGGTGAGGGGATTTGGCGTCATGGACTCGGTGCAGGACAAGATCATCAACAGGAACACCGCGAAACAAGGTGCGAGAGAAGGGGGTGGTAACGGTCGTTTTTTTACCGTTGGTTGTTGGTGGCCGTTGACTGCTGTTCTTGGCTGTTGGATGTTACTTCGTTGTTGGTTGTTGAATCCTTCGCATTTTTTAGATTTTCCGCGTCTCCGCGGAGAAGAAGCTCCTCTTCCGTACTCTTCCTACGGAATTCCACCAACATTCCATACCATACCATATTTCCTTGGTGGCAGTGTAGGAGTTTCTGCAGCAACAGCAACGCCAGCGGTGTCGCATGTGTTCGTGTTCCCCCCCCCCCCCCCCCCGGTGTTTGCCATCGGGGTTTGGGTTTTCGTCGCTTGGCAACGACGTTGTAAAACAAGCCCCCCACTCGGTGTTTGCCATCGGGATTGGGTTTTCGTCGCTTGGCAACGACGTTGTACAACAAGCCAATTCACTTCGTGAACTCGGCAACCAGGTTACCGTTTTTTTTTTTTTTTTACCTCGTGTTTTTTTTGGCGGTAACCATAGCGGTGGTCGAGTAGATCATGTTGTGCGGGGTCGAGAACCCTTACTCCGCGCAACGGGGGATGATCGCACCACGTTGTGTTAAAATGGTCAAGCTTCCTCGAGGCAGTTACACAGTGCTTACAACTGTCTCTGGAAGTGAAAGCACCAGAAAGTAAATTTAGTCATACGTAGCTGTCATCCGTACGCAAGGAAGTAAGCACAAGATGCCGAACACCCTTAGCAGGATGCAGCTCACCCTTCATGCGACTCGCCAAATACCTCACGGCGCTTCGCGCTTGGTGATGAGAGAGCCTGGTCCGGTGAGAACCCGGCGTGCTCCGTCCCGGCTTTGTAGGGATGCGAGGTCAATGGTCAAACGACTACGGCATGCACGACTATGAGTACACCCCCCCTCTGCTACGAATCTCGAAGCCAAGCCAGGGAATTTTCGTTTTCTGTTTGTTGTGTTGGATCGGGGAACCAGACCTGTGAGACCGGTGCTTGCGTTGAATACATGCACGCGGTTGCAGCGGAGACCTGCCCTTGCTGCAAAATACCGTGGTAACATAATGCTTTTATGATCGCACCAGCTGGCATCACTGATATATTTCAGCGTATACTGTAGGCTTTTGTCGACTCGAAAATATGCCAATTATCGAGCGGATTTTCCTCCCACTCACTGTAAGACTTCCACACATCCCCTTCGACTGCTGTGGTATTACCTCGAAAGCATAGTCTCTTTGAGTGTATGTACTTCTAAGGAATGGCACAGCTTTCCCATCTCCGAACAACGTTTGTTCAGCCGTTTTTTTTCTCCCAAGACTTGAACACATCGCCTTCGACTGCTGTGGCTATATCTCGAACGGGATAGTCTCTGTGTTTGTATGTATGCTATGTTGAGAACAACGGAACGACACGCGGGCTGACTCAGGAAGAAGGTTCACCGGTGTTGAGAGTGTCGGGTGCCTGATGTCGGCAAAGAGGGGGGGGGAGTGGCAACAAGAGTATGTATTTCCTTTCTCTTTGTTCGTACGGCTCTGTGTCTCCATCTCTGTCTTTATCTCTGTTTCTGTCTTTATCTCTGTCTCTGTCTTTATCTCTGTCCCTGTCTGTCTCTGTCTCTGTCTCTACGTGTGTGTGTGTCTCCCCTTCCCCCCCTCCATCCCCTTTCTCTCTCCCTCTCTTCCCCTATCATTTATTTACCATATCTCCCCTGTCTTTCAATCGCTTTGCAACCCCGCTCCTGCACGGCCTGCCTCCCGCTCTGGAACACACCCGAACTCGCAGAAAAGCAGTTCAAGGAACAGATGGAGGAGCTGTCCTTGAAGGAGAGCTTCAACCTGGATGACTTCGCCAAGATCATTGAGGTGCCTTTTTTGTTGCATGCATCTTCGCCGCCGTTTTATTTTGTTCTGCCACCATATATCGTTCACCATATTGTTGGAGAGTCTTGCCCCTCCACTTGTTGTTATTCCTAGAGACCAACGGGGTCGTGCGGATATCATGTAGACCTACAACAGGCAATATTATTCCCTGGCGAGATGCGAACAGACAAGTCCTTTAACAAAACGAAAGCATAAAACCAGGAAACCCTTATCATTTTTATTGGCACAGACGGCTCAACGAGGTCTCAGCCAAGACGCATTTTGCAGGAGTTTTTCTCGTGATTTTTGTCGTGGTGTTCGTTTTTTTGTTTCTTCTTGCCGTTCTTGTCTTTTTTTTTTTTTTTCTTTTTTTGTAGGCCCCAGTCGACTTTTTCTTTGAACCTTATGCTGGAGAGCCTCTTTTTGTACCTTTGACAAAAACAGCGAAAAACAGAGCATGAAGAAGGAAAACATAGCAGAAAAATAAGAATTACGGCAAAACACCACGGGACAAGATTTCAGCCAAGCCTCTCCGGAAGGACCGCCTTCGCGAGATTTTTTATTCTATATGAGGAAATGGAATAGGAAGGGGTTACGCATACCCTCTATCCGTCACCTTAGCCCTAACGAAGCTTCCCCGATTGCATGCTTTATCCAATATGTTTACTTAAAAATGGAAAATCCCTGCGAAGGCTACTACCCGAGAAAACGACGGGGGAAATATTTCAACATGTTTCGTCCGGTGTTAAACACGGAGTACTATACGTTGATTTCAGTTTCATCGAGTATCTAGAATTCCCCAATTTCAGATTGGCGTCTCTGACCCGGCTGACAAAAACTGGAATGTACACAACAACTAAGGTCTTTTAACACTGAAAAACAATTATCATGAGAACATCTACCTACCGTCCGCGCATCGCAGGCGCCGCTCGTACTACTAGCAATTGATAAACTAGCATTAAGCAAATCGTCTATGGTCCGCTCATCGCAGGAGCCGCTCGTATAACTAGCATTTAAAAACTATTAGCAATAATGGAACTATACTAGCATTAGCGTGAACGAAACTTCCACGGTCCGCGTATGTGTCGCAGGAGCCGCTCGTACAACTAGCATTTAAAAATCTAGCAACATTATAATGTCTATTGTCCGCGTGTTATACTGTAATAGCATAAGCATTAACGAAACGTTTATGGTCCGCTTATGTATGCGTCGCAGGAGCCGCTCGACAAGTTTTCGGCGAAGCTCCCGTGGAACAAGAGCCGGGAGGAGCTGCAGGCCATGAAGATGCAGAAAAAGGTCCTGGAAGGGCTCACGCCCCTGCAGAGAAAAAACCCAGAGTCCATCCGGCACGGACACCGCCAGCGCATCGCCGACCGAGCCGGAGTGGTGAGTCTCGCTCGTTTGCTAGATTCTTTCGGGATGGATGGACAAGTAGATAAATCGTCCCGTTAAATAGGGGTGAGTGAAGCATGCATTGATGTACCAGTAGGTTTGAGCTGTGCTCTGCTGTCTCCAGCTTTTTGCCCTCGCGTGTTCCTTGCTGTGTCACGTCTATACCCCACCCCCGATCCTATCTATGTACCCCCGTTGAGCCCAACCTTTTTGGGCTGTTTTTTGAACGTCCACCACTTCTCTCAACCACCCGTGGTCTGTCAGCAAGATAGAAAGCGACGAAGAGGCTTGAGCCTTCTTTGCATCATAGCGGCTAGCTCCCGTCGCCGCCTAAATAGCTCACAGCGGCACTTCTGGCGGCCGTTCACTCCCCCCCGGGACAATAATGGAAGGAGCGATCGGCCATCGGAGATCGGTCAAAGTATCGATTGGCCATCGTTGATGGGTCCTGTGGGAACGATTCTCCGTCCTACTCTCGACGAGGCGTAGTCAATGGTCTAACCGCTAAAAGGCATGCAATACATGAGAGTACGCCCCCCCCCCCCCCCCCCCCCGAAAAAAAAAACCGTGGCCGGGACACCGGTGCCAAAAAAGGAAAAAATAAAAAAAGGCCCCCCCCCTTACCCAAAACTTAAAGGGAAGCCCCGGTGGGTGTCCACCAAGCGGAAAAAGAAAGAAAAGAACCCCCACACACAAGAAGAACTGCCCGTCATGG